CTGACATTGTATATAATTTAATATTCCCGGAAAATTTGAGCATCGTATTTTAGTAAGAAGCAACGGTTGCATGGGATGAAAAATATAATGTTATTCTAATTGGTAGAGTCCGGAAGTTCTGTCATCTATTTTTGTTAGATATTTATATAAATACACCAAGTTAAATATCTGAATTGTACGTGTTTTATTAAACTCATTTTCACAAGTCACTACAAGTTGTTCGCCCGGAAACAACTATTGGCACTGTACATATTTGAACATAGGCATGAGTTGTTACTAAAGGCCGATTTACATAATATACACAATTATCTAAAAACCCATTTAATACATAACAAGCTTTCCTAAAAGAGGCAGACGAAAAGGACATTTATTTATTATAAATAGGCATTTATGCTGGGTAGAGTTGGGTTGCAGAAAAACATGTAAACAATAAACTAGTGGTGCTAAGACAGCACGTATTTTCGCCTTTAGTAATGGTTATGTAATACTATTTATAACACAATTTCTCTCCGAATTATTTTTTGTAAAACTAATTTAAAGTTGTAAAACATTTGGTGCGAAAAATAGGAAGTATGCGAAAAAGTAAAACAATTAAAAGTTAATAAATAATACGATGTTGATAGCGTCGGCAAACAAATGCAAATAGATCTTATATATATATATATATATATATATATATATATATATATATATATATATATATATATATGTATTAACCAGCTCCCAATGAACGCAGATGGATGCTACGTATGTTAGAATTTGCATATTATTTTGCATTTAATTTTTTATGATTATTTATTTTATATTTATGTTAGTTCATTTTAAATTGCGTCGTTTAATTGTGTTAAATGTAAAAACGAATAGACGAAAAGCAGCCGTCATTATCGCCTTGTTATTTGTGTGGCGTTACACCACTGGGTAACAACCAACAATGACCGCTCGTATATTCGTTTTTACATTTAACACAATTAAACGACGCAATTTAAAATGAACTAACATAAATATAAAATAAATAATCATAAAAAAATTAAATGCAAAATAATATCCAAATTCTAACATATGTCGCATCCAACTGCGTTAATTGGGAGCGGGTGACTGAAAGCTAGCAATCTTTATTTCATATTTATTTAAAATAGGTTTTAAATAATTTCAAAAATATTAATTAATAAACGTATAACAAAAGATCCAATGTAAGAAATGAACAAAGAAGTATGAAATATTAAATAATATACACCTATTAACTTACGTTGCGTTCAACTGCTTCAAAACACCTTTAAAATTACGATCAAGAAGCGGAGGATTTTCAGAGCTGGCGACTAACTTTGACACGCAATTACTCTAAAAATACTCATTTTTCGAAAAATTTAATATGAACTTATTTAAAAATGTGTTTTTTACGAATACATTTCATTAAGGAAAAAATATTTCTTCGTTATTGTAGTTGAAGGAAGATGCCGAAAAAAGTTTGCATTTTTTCTATTGCCAAATATCAGATTTTTCACCCATTATGAGACCTACACCATTTTCTAAAACGTACTTCAGACTATCCACCAATAAAATTTCATCGCAAACGATGGATCCATTTTTGTGAAAAAATTGTTTAAACAAAAATTCAATATTGCCTATATTTCACGCAAAATTACGTGAAAAGTACTCAAATTTTTGAAAAATTGTACATGAACATATTTCAAAATATATCTTTAAGGAACAGAATTTATTAAGGGAAAAGATCTCTAACATTAATATTTCAGAAGTCGGAAGTCGCTGATTTTTTCATTTTTCGACACATCAGTTTTCAACTAACGTGAGACCTGTGTCATTCTCTTAAACGTCCTTCAGACTATTCGACAACAAAATTTAATCAAAATCGATGGCGCATTTTTTTAAAAATATCCCAGGGAGTTTTTGTGAGGTACCCCTTAAAATGAAAACATAGGTTTCAAATTCAAGGGGCCGTGACTTCAGCCAGATCGATCAAGGATCGATCAATTTTGTAGAAGATAGGCTGAACAGTCTAACCGCAAGCATTGTTCTCAGACGGACTGGCAGACAGACGTTTTGCCGTCAGTCGATGTTTCAGTATCAAGAACCCACAAAACATGGATTCTGGCTAGACCACGTGAGGATTTTTTCTAAATTTATCAACAAGATTTATCCACTTTTTCGTTGCCAGGGCCTTGTAATAATTTTTCTGCCAAAAAGTCGCGTTTTTTTTCGCACAGCATTACATATCTTTCTCTTTGTAAGAAGTTCTTTCCTAAGCGCGAGAAAGTAAAAATTAAATTTAAAAGAAATGATTGAAAAAAATAAATTCAAATTATTCACATCTCTGTTCTAACACTTAGTACATGAAAGTAAACGATCATTTATATATATATGTATATATATATATATATATATATATATATATATATATATATATTCTTTTTGTAATCTTGATAGCACATGACAACACGGTATGATGACTACGAATTTGTTTTACACGCGATGACGTTGTCTCACGAAATGTTATTGTGAACTCGCTTTTGAATCTTGAAATGGGTATAGTTTTCGTTCTTCGCACTTTTGTAATTTCACCAAGAAGGGTACATCATTTACAGAGAGCTCTCTCTTCGAAAGGGATCGGAGACCATACTCAAAGTAGGAAGGGATTCCTTATGAGTGAGCAAAGCTTGACAGCATCAATGAAACAATTCAAAAATCTTGGTTGGTATCATCTTCCTTCCCCGTTTAGATTTTCAAAACTACAGTACTGGAGCCTCCTGTCTGGAGCCTCCACTTGCTCAGAGAGACCAAATACGACCATGACTTCGTGTTGCCCAGGCTTGCAGATACGTTTTCAGCTTGATCGAGATCGGAACCAGGAAAGGAAAAGAAGAAAAATAGTGACGAAGGAAGAAAAGGGAAAAAGTACGGTAAAATACCAAAATTGGTCATCAAAAGCTAAAATAGGCCAAAAACACAAAATGGAAATCTATAGAGTCATACAATCAAGAGAGTCATACAATCGTAATAATAAAAAAGGAATTTTGCCAAAGTTTCAAGCTCTAATAATTGTTTTTTTAGCGTTCGGTTTTGTGAGAAAATGCCAACAATTAACGTTGTACCCAATGTCAAATGATGAGTAAGCGGTATGGCGACCATTATTATTAAATGATAATAAAATAATTAAAAATAATAATAAAATTATTACGTGGTCATAAATTTATCTATTATTCTATTTACAGTGGTTCTCAAACTGTGGGACGACCCCCAGGAGGGGGGCGCGATGGCCTTGAAAGGTGGAGGCATATTTTCCTGAGAATGTAAAATCGTCTGCGATTCATGGAAAATAAAAAAAATACAAAGGAGACAAACAATAAAGGAGAAAATGTAATTTCTCAGTAGGAAACTTTAAGATTTTTCCTTTTCTTCGGAACAAGCAGTGCGTCGTCTAGCTGTGCTTCTCTGCTCTGCGATTGTAACTCGTTATCTTATATTATTGCATTCCACGAACTAATGTATCGCGCGGAGAGCAAGCTTTGTCTCGTGTATAACACGACTCTTTAGTCTTTCGTAAATCGTGAGACAAACTAGTCACGAGAATGAAACGGTTCCTAATTAGTGACAGAAATGAAGACACCAGTGCTCCATTATTTGAAGGAGACGAGGGTTCCATTCCAAATGCAAAAACAAGGAGATATGATGAGAAATATTTGTCACTAGTCTTCACGAAAACTACGGTAAATGGTGAAGAACGTCCGCAATGTGTAATTGTTTAATCATTTAGGTGCTGATAGTATGAAGCCTAACAAGTTAAAGAGGCATCTTGAAACCAAACATCCTGAATTAACAGAAAAACCATAAGATTTTTGTCAGAAAACTGAATGTGTTAAAGGGTACCCAGCAGAATTTAGCTAAAACTACAAATGTTACTTTAAAAGCCCTGTTATCCTCTTACTCAGTGTCTCTCACAGGATTGCTAAATGCACGAAACCACTCACAGTAGCAGAAACACTGATTTTACCTTCAGCGATAGATAGTGTCAACGATGTTTGATGACTCTTTGCTCAACAATTGAAAAATATTCCACTCATGACAGAGTTTCCAGAAGAACTGTAGACATTTCTGGCTATTTACTCGAGAGCAGTTAATTAAAAAATTGTGCGATAACTGCTTTTGCACTTCAAGTAGACGAAGTGGCTAACTTTCACAAAGATGCTCATTTAGTTGCTTACGTTCGTTTCGGTAGCGGTAATAACATTAGGAAGGAAATTATTTTCTGTGAGCCAATGCTGGGAACAACTCGGGCTGAAAGTCTTTTTGAAATAATTAATGATATTTTTAATGAAATAGGGATATCAAATAAATGCATTGGGATATGCACTGACGGAGTTCGCTCAATGTCTGAAATTCGTGGTGGATTGAAAGTGAAAGTTAAAGCAGCATCTCCATATGCAATATGGACCCACTGCATGACACTTCGAGAAGCTCTATTTGTCAAAGATCTTACTGCACCCCTTCATGATGTGCTGCAGACGGTTATACAAACAGTGAATATTATTAAGACAAATCCATTAATTTGACGTCTTTTCAAAGTGTTATTTGAGAAGATGGGTGCTGAACACACTCATGCTCTTTTTTGGTAATGCTCGATGGCTTTCAAGAGGTCAGGTGCCACTAACAATTGCGTCAAGCGCCAATATGTGGAAAAGAGGGAAATAGGGGGAAAAGAGCAACCTATTGTAATCTACATGCTGCGTCCATGATGCTTCAAACATAACGACACCCAGTTGAGGTATATATTTTGATACGCCATCAAAAAGAATGAATAACATGCGAAATTTTTCGTTCATGGCTGCACCGTGTCGTCGATCATGCTCCATGTCATTGCAAAGAAAAACTTACAAATGCAGACATAAATTTATCATTGCCAAATACGGCATCTCGATTGCAACCCCTGAATGTGGGGGTAATTCGTTCATGTATAGAAAACAAACATTGGGATCATTAGTTACTAGATGGATGATGCAAAAACAGTTCATAAATTGACAAAATCTACCACAATTTTGGATGCTGTGGGTTGGATGGAAAGTGTTCGGAATGAAGTAATGCCTGAAACAATAAGAAATTGTTTTATAAACTGCGGAATTGGAAGTGCTGATTTGACTGAAGAAACAGTGTATGACAGTAATCTAGAAGTCATCGAGGATTTGGCGAAAGTCAACAGTATTGATGGTAACGTTGGTAATATAGGGATCCAGCGGATCATTTTGGAGGGGGCCATGAGAGATGTTTGTTAAATAATACATATTTGTTATTATATTGTATATTTTTGTAGTGAATATATGATACTAAACAATATTATTTTTGAAATAACATAATTCTAACATCAATATTTAAATCAATTTTTCCATTCCATTTCCCCAAATAAAAGAAGGTAACAAACAAAAACTAGGTCTTTTAGATCCGCCACTGGAGCGGTTGAACTGTTTCACTGAAATTGAAACTTGGGCTGACGTGGTTTCGGAAGTTAGCCTGGTCGACAACGATGAAGAGAGACGGAGAAAGGGATTAATTTCAAGATGAACCATTATCATTACTTCATGTACTCTCCAGTATTAGAAGGCATAGGTTATTGGAAAATTAATTAACTAATTATGACTTAATAAATTTGTTGAGTGATATTGAAAAAGAATATGAACATATTATTGTGGTTGAACGCGTGAAGAAATTTATACAGCCAATATCAGATTTTGATCTCAAGAAAAATAAAAAAATAATGTAAGAGTATGGAATGTGCAATAGTTTTGATGATTATTAATAAATTGCATGCTATTTGCGTATTATGTATACTTTTTTATTTAATAAACCAATAAATACATAGTATTTGTATGTATTTACGTCAATGACATAATATGTGAAACCCCTTTATGGCAACCACCCCTTAAGACGACTACTTTTAGGTGCAAATTTAGGTGGTTGCATAAAGAGGTTTCCATGTATTTCCTTGCAAAGCCATAGCCAAGAAAATGTGTTGAATCGTTTATGTGCCCTGGTAGGTGACTCCAAAAGCTATAAATGCCACATTTTTTGAGGGAGTTAAAAAAGAGCGCTTGACTTTTTTTAACGATTAAATGTGTTATTTTTTGTCTAAATGATTAAGACTGCAATCTAGATAGTGGAACTTAATAAGTCACCAGTTTTAGAAAACATAACATAAAATAGTCCAAGTACATTACGCACATGTACGGATATGTTGTCAATACGAATATATCAACAATTAAATAAATAAGAAACTGCACAAATTTTGTTAAAGGCAAAATAATGAAATGTATTGGCTGCCCTGTCTTTACGTATGAGGTTAAGTGACATCTGCCAACGTGTGGTGCATGTGACTGGTTAGCAGCTGGGTGCTGTGCTAGGTGCCGTGGTGGACGAGAGGAAATGTGACCAGATGTATCTCTTTGATTACTGATGAATTGCTCTGTTTGATTGTGGTGATGTTATTTCAACTCTTCAATGCAAATAAAAAATATTGTCAATTATAACCGTATTAATGATGTGCCGATGTGTTGGCAGTGAAAAAAGATAAACGTTGCGGTACACGTCATGACTGTCAACGAAATAGCGTTTGTTATCGCAGGTCATCTGTTTCCTTGATATCAGAAGCCTGAATATGTTTTCAGACCACCTAATATGTTATTTCAGTATTTTTGGACGTTTTGTTTGCGTATTTTAGTATTCTTATCCATTCCATTATTATACGAGTCGTTGAATATTTTTAAATCGCCTTTAGATAGTCTTGAAAGAAAATATGGTTCATTTTCTGAAGATCTCCGCCTTCAAATGGTACAAGAGGCGAAAAAAATGTTTTACTTTGGTTATGACAATTACATGATACATGCATTCCCTTTGGATGAGTTGAACCCAATTTTATGTTCTGGTAGAGGGCCTGATTATGATAATCCGTAAGTCTTTCTGCTTTATTTTTGGGTATTATATTTTATTTACAACAATTATGATTCATGCACTTAATTTTCATTCATGTGTGGTATCATTCTTTATTTATAGATCTAACATCAATATAAATGATATTTTGGGAGATTATTGCCTTACATTAGTGGATTCATTGGATACATTGGCAATTATTGGAAATGTAACAGCCTTCCAGGAAGCAGTTACAGAAGTTGTTCGTACAGTCAACTTTGATAAAGATAATGTAGTCCAAGTTTTTGAAGTGAACATCAGGTAAAAGCATTAATGTACATTCCAATTGTATAAAACAAAAACTAATCAAATAATACAAACAAAATCCTAAGAGCTTTACATGTATTCTTATTGATTTCAAAGATTTTGTCTTCATTAAATTGGTTACTAAAACCGTAATTTAACTTAAATTAATGTCAGAGAAAACATATGGTTGTTATGAAAGGCTATTTTTAAATTTTGACATTCCTTGAAATGTGTAAATAAATTTTGTTTTGGCATACAAAAGATGAATTATTCATATGAAGGTGATTTGGTATGTTTGTTATTCTCTAGCATATTGTGTGATTATTTATAATTTTAAAATGTTTCCCTATCTTTTGTAATCTCTGGTTTGTTTAAAAGCATTTTCACAGAGTTTATGTCCAGGCCCATATTTAACATTGATGTCATACCCCTCTGGTGTATGCGAAATTGATGTTGAATGAATTTAAGAATTCTACTTCATTACTTTGAAGGACTATTACAACTTCACTTTTTTTCCCCCTTCATAATTTTTGCTTATACTAACTTCACCTCTATTAACTTATTAGTAGTAATACTAGCCATTATACAGATATTTTTTCAATATAAGTTAATAAACAGTATTACTACTTTTGTTACTAATGGCAGAATGTTTAAATAATGTTTTCATTAATGTAACTTTTATTCCATTAATGAAAATACTTCATGGGGTGTTGACATACCTCTGGAGAAGGCAATGGTAAACTGCTTCAGAAATACGTTAGCTTAAGAATCTCAGTAAAGGAAACCAGAGGTTTCATTGTAATGCATTTTGTTGATTTTGATTCAGTTTTGTTGGGTTAATCATTTACTTATAAGATGAATAGAAAAGGCCCAAGTGTTGAGCCCTATGTTACTCTGCAGACCAAAGAATTCAGAAAAAGTGTTATTAAAATATTATTTGAGACCTATTGTTTGGACATGACAGATTGATACTTGCACATATAGGTTTATTTGAAAGTGAGCCAAGTAGCAGAAAGAAAATTATTATTTAATGAAGTATGAAATTAACTTCAGCCTCTTGTGTTGCTTTTAGGATCATAGGTGCATTGTTATCTGCTCATTTGTTGATGATGGACCCTAAACAACCATTTGGAGACCTTAAGCCATCATGGTATGATGGTGAACTCTTGCATTTAGCCCACGATTTAGCATCACGGTTGCTGCCTGCATTTGAATTAAGCCCTACAGGAATTCCGTTTCCTAGAGTATGTATTTTTTGTATGTGTTATGTAAATATTATGGTTTAATTTTATTGCGAAATTGCTAGATTATTTCTTTATAGGTGAATTTGAGACGTGGGCTGCCTCCTCATAGTGTTTCAGAAACTTGCACTGCTGGTGCAGGTTCTTTGGTTTTAGAATTTGGACTCTTGAGTCGGTTGCTTGGAGATCCGGTTTATGAAGGTTATGCTCGGAGAGCCAATAAAGTGCTGTGGAATTCCAGATCTAAGAGTACAGGACTCTTGGGTAAGTGAGGGATTTCTAACCCATGGATGACAACTTTTTATTCTTCTTGATTGTCCTTTTGTATACCCAGTATGGGAAAAAACCCCTCAGAATCCATTCTCAAAGAACAAAATGTTATCGCTTTGTAATTTTCAATATGAAGTCTTTTATTCATTAAAGGAGTTTACTCAAAACTGATTATTACAAAAACATTTGTTATTTTTGTGTTAAAAACAGATTAAAATAAGATTTTTGAGAAATGTTGGAATGTGGTAAAATACATTTTTGTAATGTTCTTTATGCATATTTTTTTACTTCTAAAAGTGACAAATTTATTATTTTTCCATGGAGGAAGTTGAAATTTGTGGAACTTTTATTATCACTTTCTAAGTTTGGTTTTTTCCTTTGTTTTTTGGCTTGTTTTTAAGTTTGTATGGGTTGTATAGTAGTCACTAATTACTACACATGCCCAGTTCTCAAGTTACATTTATCAGAGATGTGATGTAATGAACATAACTACTATTATAATGAAATTGCTTCATTTCAATGCACAATATAACATGTAATAACATTTTTGTAATAACAAAAAACTTATGCTTAATATGGCTGGAAATTACGTGTTGGGCAGACTAAGAAGGTTTTATGTTAATCATGTGAGGCGAAGGCCAGTGCCTTGTCTCTCTCTTGGACACAAGAACTGGTGTTAACTGCAAAAACTATATAATTACTAAAGTACTTATTAAAATGAGGGATATGACTTTAAAGAGTTCACCTTAGCGAGTATGCATAAGGCCTAGACAAAGTGAATAATTTTTTAAGAAAGTTATTATTTTGGTCAAATTGTACAAGCTATTATCAATAATGTCTAGGCAAAGGGATAAATTAATCACTTATATTTGTTGATGTGGACATTATACATAACTACTAGTGATTATATATAATCATTGATTTATCATCTTAGCAGTAATAACATACAGTTTATATTTAACAAAATTGTCAATATGTTAAAGGAAAAGTGGAAAAGAGAAGTTCGCAGAAAAAGTGGCTTACCCAAGACAAACATGGGTTCATGATAAAATAATTGTATTATGCACAATTATTGTGAACTGATGTGTAATTTCGTTAGTTTTAGATATGATTTTAGGACAGCTTTAATCACACTTTGTATTTTGCTGAAGTATGACCCTATTGCCAGAATTAAAGTGGCACTCTAATACCAGTGGGAATCTATAAAAGTGTGCATCAATTCTTGCTCTTGAACTGTTACTGAAGCTAGAACAACTGGTAGAACTATCACTACTTCCTATATGCCTCATAACTGTAGGAGTCAGTGCAACTGTCATAGTCATAGTTGCTCGCCAGTGCAGCGAAAGCATGTAGAAGTGTGTGAAACTAAACAAAAAAAAAAAGAAGAAGCACAAGGTTTTAAAAATAATGCTTTGTATGGGATACTGAGTTTAATTCACTCAAGCAATGATTTCAATTATTTCAAAATTTACACATTTAACAAATTTGAGTCTTTTGAATAGTTGATTTTATAAGAATAATATCTATATAGTGGAATATTTTATTATGGGCTGAGTGAATAAAAATTAATCATTTGTTTATAGTATTAAGTTTTAATTGTTGTTAGTAAAAACAATTGGCTGCCTTGTTTTGGTTTTTGCATATTGTGAACAGCATGAAAAATTTGTCATTGACCGTGAGTCTGATTATGTACGTGAGAAGAATAATTAGTAATGATATGCAATTCCAATTTGTTGATATTTTAAAGGATTATCCTGTTCTTTTTATTAAATCATGGTTACCAAACATAAAAATCAAGAAGGGCAAATGTCTGACTCATGCTGTTGTGCAACATGAATCAACGTATGACTAGAAAATTTGTATATAATATGTGTACAATCAATATCATTTTATGCTAATGGAAACTTGTAGTGTTCTGACCATTCTTGTCTTGTTAGGTCAATGTCATTCTCTTTGGGGAACCTAACGTACAGGTGTGCGTTTGCAGCAAGTTTTCTGCAAAAGAGCAGCACACTTTTATCCGGCGAACTTGAACATCCTTACCAATTCCCAGTTAATAACCAAGATAGCTTAAAATTTTTAGAAAAATCTCTCTTCTTTATTTCATTGTTAGAGCATCTCTCTTCACTTACGTTGCATTGCTAAAAATATGTTCTACCAACCACTGAACATTTTCCTCATTAAATCTGAAAAAAGAATGATAATCACTTTGCACATTCTCAACACTTGTGCAATACTGTTTTGAATTTCTGATTTGTATGTATGGAGCCATTGCTAAATAATTGGCACTGCTCGCAAGGGCAGAACCACACTAGTAAAATTTCAGCCATTTGTTGTTGTGTAAAGAATAAGCTTGGTTTTATTCACACTATTTCAAGAAATTGCTGGAAAATTCAGCATTTGTTAGACTTGCTTTGTTTGTTTGTAGTAAAAAAATTTCTACTTCTTTATTCACTTAGCCCATTAACTTGATATGACAATATTTTGACATTCTGTATAATTTTTGTATAGGAGGAATCATAATATATACATACACACATTCAAACCAATTATTAAAGCTTACTACTTAAATTGCAGATCTAACATGGCTTGGCTATCTTCAGGTAATATTAGTATTATTGTGAACAATTATTGAGAAACAATTTATTCACAAATAACTTAATTTGTATGAGTAGGAGTTGAACGGTTTCATACTTAGCCAACTCCTAATGAATTTTGCTCTACACTTTTCTGAATTTCTTTCGTAATCAAGGACAACTCATGCCAATAATTTGGTTAAATATCTCGGTTATATTCAACTTTCTATTCTCTAATGATGTACGACAATGCTACTATCCTGGGGTGTACACATTTGAGTGTATTATAGAGAACAATACATTTATACTAGTGATTGTTCTGAACTATCATGAAACTCGTGTTCCAAGATGTTAGATGGGCTTGTTGCGGTAATCATTAAATTTTTCAAGTGTAATTATATCTGTGATTTAAGGACAACTCTGGCATTGAATGTAGTACTATTTGTCACTTATATTTTTATGATTTATTAGTATAGACAATTTAAAGTATTTTTACAAAGTTACATTATTAAGTCACTCCTATATATTTCTCAGTGGTAATGGCCTGCGAAAACTAGGAATTGACAGGAAATATTTTATTCACTCAAAAAGTAAGGAGAAAATCAGGATTTTTTTTCTAAGGAAATATTGCTTTCATTGTAATTAAAATAAGAAATTGTTGTAATTTAGGTGGTAAATTGAAAAAAACGCATATGTTCAAATATGGTGTTCTGAGAAAATTGCTTTCAAAACTTAGTTTGTAAAGTAATTTGGTGTGGGATTTTGTGAAGTCACTCATAAAAAGAGCTTCATGCTTCTTTGTTGCAAAGCCTACTCATGTAAACACGTATTCGAGGGTCCATCAGAGTGGACTGTCTACATGGATGGGGCAGAGCGTCCAGTGTGGGCCACTTGAATATATAGGTAGACTTAGAATATATAGGTCGTGGAGTCGAGTCCCGCCGGTGGTAGGTTTTTTCAACACTAGCTAGATCAACTTCGGTCGCAGTGTAGAGGAGACTTCTTGGAGTGGCTTCTCTGATCGGTAGTTTTCCGTGGTTTCGTAGGGTACTACTAAGAAACAGGCCACGAATTACGCGTGATGATTCCTTCCCCTTTCTTGTTCGGTTCTCACCCCTTACACTCATTTACTTAAACTTTCACTCACTTTCTTATTTACATACACCGCACTATCACACACACTGGGAAACTGGTCATGAGCTTAGAGCTTGTCCCAGCTGGGGTGGTGCCCCAGGTGAGGAAAACCCTGCTAGCCGACAAGTAGGTCATCACTGGACCTTATCATCCAGCAGAAGATCACCGCCACCTCCCGTAGAAAAAAAAACATACTCTTACGAGAATAATGTCCTTAGCAGTTGCATCCCAGGTGATCAAATATCACTATAATTAAATCAGAGAATAATAAGACCACAGCAACCCAAACTATAGTTCAGGATCAGACTGCGGCTGATGGATTGTTCAATTGTTGTGCGAGTTCAATGGAAGCATCAATATTTCCTTTGTCCCAGGGGGTACATTTGTGATGTACATCTATATTTTCTTTTTCACGAGATTGTTAAAATCTTCAACATTCCATTGGACATTTGAAAATGTATAAAATAAATGTCAAAAAAATATATGACAGTCTTGAAGGAATTCAGTTCCCCGACCAGAAAATCACTGAACTCTCCTCTGATTGAGAGTTCTTCGGTTTTACTTTCCCTTCACACTATGAACTTACGTATTATAGAGAAAGTATTGAAATGCTGCGGTAAAAACTGACGTGTTACAAAAGATAATAAATCTTATTTGAGTATGTAGTAAATTATTTCCTCCCACTATGTAGCTTATAAGTCGCGAGCTTAAGACGGATTCATAGTTTTCTATTATTTAGAAATTTTATAAAGCACATGAAATTTATTAAAACAATTGATTAGTGTAAATTTGTTATTAATTTTTACGTGGACATAAATATACTTCAGTCATATATTTTTTGGTGCTATGTGGATTTGTTTTCAATATCACTAAACTATTTTCTAATGTTTGTAATAAAATTTTCTATATAATCCCGTTCCATTACATCACACATTCGCACCGGCCACACACGCCGCACATGGTTCAGACATGCTGCATGTAGCTGAGGCATGATGCATATGGTTCAGACACCCCGAACATTGACCACCCTCCTGCTCATCCCTCAGACTCACCGCCCAAAACTCCCATCACTATTGTCTGTGAATGTTTGACACCCACAGGATTGCAGCTTGCCAAATGCAGGAAAGAAATGATTGCATAGGCTTTTGTGGCCACAGTTTGCATCTTCTGTGCTATCCGGGATGCGCTGCTTCTCGGTCTTGGTGGCTGATGTTTCAGCTAACATGTTGTGGCCTTCCTCAGAGCGTACTGCAGTAGCCCAGAAAACAGGAAAGAGATGTTTTTGGTGACTAGCAGGAAGCGAAGGGAAACTACCACTCTCAGTGGTAGTATTCTCTAGTGCTTAGATTTATAAGCAATATAGTATACCAAATTATGCCTTAAATTATGTAGAAAAAACTAACAAATCTGCAAAAAGATGCAGTTGTAATTTACTTTTGTGGCTGGCTATAAGGTAATACACACACAGTTGATCCCCAGCCCGAGACGAGCGCCGAGAAAGTTCAAGACACATACGTGCATAGTATGTTTGGAAGAGGTTTCTGAGTCGATACAGAAGAAAACAAACGTGTGATTTCGGGGTTCATATTGTTTCTCAATTCTGAGAGTGTATTAGCAGTATTATTTGAGTAATACTAGTTCCTTTTGGAACACATTGTATAATGCTTAAAGGAATAAAAGAATAAATAAATTGAAGACAATTGCTAATCTGAATAATTTATATTCTTTATTAACAGAGATTAGTAAATAGGAAAATTGAGCCGAAAAAACAGGATACAATGCCAAATATGCAGTTCTATATGTATCTGTGAAACATCACCTGCAGAAGTACAAAAATCATACATCAAATGAAAAACAAATTCTCTAACGGACTGGATAATATCCCTGAAACCCTCATTAAACATACTGTAACAAACATAATAGAAACGCTCACTCACATTTGTAACCACTCCTTAATGATGGGTATCCTCCCATCAATTCTCAAAAAAGAAAAAGTTAAACCACTATTCAAAAAAGGCAATACTAACGATCTCATGAATTACAGACCAATATCCTTACTATGTGGAATCTCAAAAATTTTAGAAAAGCTTTTTAATGATAGACTCAACAATTTTCTCAATTCAAATAATTGAATAATTGACGAATTGAGTATTAACAGAGGCCCAACATGGATTCAGAAATGGTAGATCTACAGACCCAGCTATCTTCACCTTTCTAAATGACATACTTGTTGCTCTAGATCAGCAAGAAATACCCATCGGTTTGTTTCTAGATTTATCAAAAGCACTCGACATTAATGACCATAACATACTGTTATCTAAACGTGAAACTTTGGGAATTAGAGGCATTGCTCATCAATGGGTCAAATCGTTGTCAAGTAGTCACAATCAAGCTTGTTAGAGATAAAAAGATTTCTATCAATTTTTACCAACCTAGAATGATAAATTATGGAGTGCCACAAGTATCAATCCTAGACCCCATACTATTTCTATTACACATCAATGACATGCCCCTGATCCTACAAAAGAGCAAAATGGTCCGATTTGCAGATGACACAAACATTATTATTAAAGTAAATACTCAACAAACTCTACAAAAAGCAGCACAAACAGTCCTAGACACTAGTAAAATGGTTCCAGGAAAATAAACTCATCATTAACATCAGTAAAACTGTCTCTCTAAACTTTCGAAATCCACCGTGTAAAGAAAAGCCTCCAGCACAATTGATGATAAAAACATGCCTGTAAAAATAGCCCCCCCAAAAAAACAACTTTCTTTAGATTGATTATTCAAGATTATCTAAAATGGAACTCCCATATCACAGATTTAAACAAGCTTACCGAGTCATGTCATATACATCTTTAAGTCAAATTTTAACTTAGATATATGACGAATGGTGAACTTTGCAAATGTTTACCCGCACCTGAAATATGGAATAATATTCTGGGGAAATTCCCCAGAAAGTATTCACACTTTTATCATCTAAAAACAAATGATAACAATGACAAACACTCATAAACACAAGTCTTGCAAGCCACTGTTCAAAAAATTACAAATACTACCACTTCCATGCATGTACATATTTGAAATATTAATCTGCACAAAAGGAAGGCACTTATGAGAAACAAGAATTCTGTTACTCTGATCACAGCAGTTCATAACTATGATAGTAGACAAAAAAATAAATCATGTCACACAGCGAAACTTCACGCTTTCAGAAAAGTACCCTTATAGGAGGCATTACACTATTTAACAAACTTCCTAGCGAATTTAAAACCTTAAACTCGATACACACTTTCGAAAATAAACTGAAAGTTTTCCCGTTAAACCATACATTCCACAGTGTAAAAGAATATATACATCAACAACATGTATCTACATCAATTTAAATTAGTACTAATAATTTTTGCATTTTCTCTTGCACATTTTGCCCCCCCGCCCCTTAAACTGGTTGTTGGATACAAAGGATGGACCCAGCCCAGGCATGAATCTATAAAGATTTTGTTTATGATGATTATTATTATTATTTTTATTATTATTATTATTATTATTATTATTATTATTATTATTATTGATTTTTATCTTAAGTCTTCTTATCCTACCATCTGTAAAATTAATTAGCATTCTATGATATTGTATTTAGTACAAGAATTGAATTGAATTTTAATTTATTTCTTACATTTAATTTTTAGAAATACCTGTGTTGTGCATTGTATGATTATATGCATGTCCTGTCTTGTCATAGCGTATACTGTATTTATGTGACAAATATATTATTATTATTATTATTACTATTATTATTATTATTATTATTAATAGTCCTGCTCTTCTTTATCAACAAATATGCAACAATAACTCAAATTGTAACGTATACTTGGGATGAATTGCATTGTATTTTGATCAAAAAGCACATTTAAAACGGTACTATTTATTTTCAGCTTCATAAAAAAATCAAACTCCTCAAAAATTCATCAATGCACCCTCCCCCTGCCGGAAATACTGGGGAAATATTAAGTATTGTTTGGCATCGCTTTCTAAGTAGAAAATCAAATTTGGATATGTTCCTGTCTCTAGCCAAAATCAGGATTGAATAATGACTACCAACTACCCATAATACTAGTATTGCTCAACAGCACATTCTTTCTTGCATTACTTATAACGTTTGATATTTACGAAAATTGAAAGTGTTCAATGAAAGAGACCTGTGCCATTCTTTAAGCGTCACTTCCATCTGTGGAAAAAAAAAATAAAGAAAATATTTGGAGTGGTTTTGAGAAAATCCTTTTTTCTGTAACTTGTATTAATTTCAATCAGAAATTACATGAAACAGTGTTTATTTATTTATTGTTTATTAATAGGCAAATGCCTAAAATACAGAATAATCCGTATAGAATTTTATATTAGGAGTCGATATAATAACATACATGAATATAGAATATAATATCAATAGATTAGAAATGTATGAATCATTCAAATACAGCTAGTAATATAGCTTTACATCATGAATCAAAGAATTTTGTGACAAATTGAGATCTAAGGACAAATCATTCGCAATTTTACAAATTCGCCAAAGGGGGGCATAATAACTAATGTTCGTTCTCACTGTCAGTAGCACAAATATTGAAAGATCCGTGACCCGAAGATTATACTTAGGAACTTTCCAAGGTAATTGGGATAGTAAATATTTACAGTCTATCAGGTTATTTGATAATTTATGCAAGAAAATATATTGGTTGTATTTCCAATGCAATTCCAAGGTGCTAATATTCATGACAGATGCTATGAGTCTATAGTCATGAGTTGGTCTAAGTGAAGGAAGGCCCGTTTTCTATGCAATTAAGTTCAAGAATTTATGCTGATTTGACTTAAATTCAAGTTTATTCTTTGAAAAACAGATTTCATTACAGAAAAAATCTCTAATCTTCAATATTGTAGTTGTAGGAAGACACTGAAAATATTTTGAACTTACACGATTTTCAAAATCTCAGTTATTTTAACGAAAATGACACCATGCTATTCTTTTAAGCAACCTTAACATTAATCAAGAGCAGTGTTTTCAAAAGTATGGAGCCATGTTTGAAAAAATTTTGAACATGTTGAGGCTTGATGTACAGTAGCCCCAAAAGTCAAAATATCCATTTCAAACTCATAGGGCCTCAAGTTCTTCCACTTCTTTCTTCTCTTTCACAAAATGTATACTTTTGTGATAGGCACTTTTCCTTTCAACATTACATAACTTTCCCCTTGGAGTTCACAAGGAAGTGAAAATACACCTATAGTAATAGATATCTCATTGAATCAACTAAATCAAAAAAAGGTTATTGCCGTTCCTGAGATTCTGAATTCAGTTTTGTTTGGCTATTGACATTAATTGGTTTAAGTCATTTTGTATTCTTTGGTAATTAAGGTATCTCCAATTAATTCCCCCCAAAAAGGTTTTTAATTCCATATAAATAATGTTTGTTTCTCAACCAGCATGTTATAGAAGTGTATTAGTGCATATAAAATGTTTTATGAGGGAATCTGACAAAATAATAAATTCCATTCCAACTATTTGCCCTTCTGTGTTCATGCATTGAAGCATTTTGTATTATTTTCGAATTCTGAAGATTTATTTCTCTAATATTATGCATTTTATGTAAAATATTTATTATTGCAGGCAATGTAATAGACTCAAAATCTGGTGAATGGTTAGGCCGTCTCAGCGGTTTAGGTGCAGGATTGGATTCTTTCTATGAATATCTTCTGAAATCATACATCATGTTTGGTGAACCAGATGATTACAAAATGTTTTCTGAAGCATATAATACCATCAAAATGTATATGAGGCGAGGGTAAGTACTAGTGAACTAAAATAGTGGTGTGAATTAGGTAATATATGCACGATTAATTATTTTGCATGTTATAATAAAAATGGTAATGGTAAACTGTACTGTGTGCCATTCCTGCTTACAGTGGTATTACATAAGTACGCAGTCTTCCTCCCATTATATTCAGGTGTGTGTCTTTCTTTGTACAGCAATATAATACTTGGGTCGTTTGTGCATGTGAATTTTGGTTCTGCTTTTCATGTTAATTTCTGTTCTGTGTCACAGAACAATATTTCGTGTATATTGGTTAGTTTGGATGTAATGTTTTTGTCTGCTTAACTGTATGATTTTAAGTAGGATTGTAGATTGTATAAGGCTCATGCAGGTTCATTCACGATTGAGTCATGAATACGAATATGAATGTTCTATTCATTTTAGTAGTACGATTTTGTAAGATGGTGTGTAAATTTTGCACTGCAAAATTGATCTGCCGCGTAAAAAAATGATAGAGTAACATTATTGTATTCTGAAGCTTTTACAGAAAGTCTTTATGTGAACATAAAATATACATTAGGATTTTCCCATTAAGTAGTGGTTGACATAATGATAGCAATAATAATAGAAGAAGAAGAAGAATAGTGAAATATAATGGGCATTCTTGTAATTTAGATGACAAAGGAACAAACAATTGGACTGTTGGAATGTGAAACATTATTGATGTTAGGTTTCAAGAATAACACCTGAAGAATATTTTGGTGGGAGATAATGGTGTGGATATTTTCATTGTTCATTTTATGCTTTAACATTATAGAATTAACAAGATTTTATTTATTTTTATACCTTATTTTGAACTTACTTCTTTATTTCACTAACTATCTGCCTCTTGATAGGAGACCACATTGCAACAAAGGGTCAGGTGATCACCCACTATATGTGAATGTTGACATGCTGAGTGGTGCAGTGCATACATCCTGGATTGACTCCTTACAGGCAGCCTTTGCTGGAATCCAGGTTGGTAAATGCTCGTTTGAAAGTCTGAGAAAGGCGTGGGAAAATGGTTCAATATTGTTCTGACACTCTTAAATTTGTTAACGCAGAGAGGCTTATGGCCCTGATTTCAGTGTACAGTTTTAAAACTTAAACCAAGAGAAAAAGCATATTACTTTAAAACAAATAGTTAAATATAAAATTGTTTCATCTTTGGATGGTCGTTCTTTTGAAAAAATCCTACTTACTAGTACTAACTTGTACTTTAGATGCACTGATATAGTGAGCTGCAGACTTGTATACACCATTTTAATTTAAATTTTAAAATTCTTTCATCCATCTGCAATGAAATTATAGAAAATTTAACATGGTTATTTATTACAGGCTTTTCAAGCCGAGTTCACATACAATGTAACAAAAAAAGAAATAATTGCTACCACTCTCTTGTCACCTTTATGGTTGTGTCAAATATGACAAAAGGTTCTTCTGCTCTGTAATTAATGTCAATGATGTGATCTTGTTACACTGCATCGATATTGAATGACTAAATTGTTTTAAAAAAAAGTCACCTCCAGAAGATATGACATTTGGACCTCCTGTTTTATGCTCTGTTGTTGTGACCACTGATCTACTAAGACTATACTATGGACAGGTTCTTGGGTCCTGTATATGGCCATTGTAGTTGATATTTAATTGTTGCCATAAATACATGAGGTCATTGATAATAATGAGATAGAAGAGCAACAATCATCAAACCATGTGCCACAGATGCGAAATGGTTCATTTGCAGATACTGATTTTACATGTGCTATTGGAATACTTGATAAGAGTCACTAGTCCGTGATCCCAGATCAGGTTCAAAACTTTTGATATGAGACTCGTGTGAATATAAAAAATAGAGTCAGCTGATTTACGATATAACAAAGATCCTCTCTGACATTGTAGCCTTGGCCCCCTGTCAAAATCCCTTCCTACAGCAACCAGCCTAAAATGTAAAAATTTATAACAACATGCCAAGAAAATTTACAGTTATTACAAAGTAACATGATTGCTGTTCAACAAAAAACTGCAGTGAAGGGTCAAAAGACTGACAAGCTATTGATCATTAACTCCTATGTGTGCAAGAAAGTATAACAAAGCCTTTGAAATATGTGTGGCTTCAGTAATGGCAGACCTGTGATAGCATGTCAAACGTGTCACATGAAGACTTTTGTTCGTCATGGGTTGCTTACAGATGATCACCACTTCAGAACAGTCAACCAATTTACTTAGCCTGTGCTTCAATATTTTCTTACTTGTGTACTTGCATGGGATCAAATGTTTGTCACCTTCCTGTTGAAACTCAAGAATCTAGTAAGAAATCATTTGAAAAATGAAGAAAAGTGCAATTTTGAATAGGAAATTTGAAGAACATGTAAAGTATTACCAAACACTTGTGACACTCTGGAAAATCCAGTGATGGCTTGAATTTCAATTTTTACTTTTACATACTTTTTTGAGACCTCATTTTATTCAAACCAATATTCAAAAAACAACCTTCTTGAAGTACACAAAAACAACTTTCAATTGAAGATTTAAGCTAATGAAATTCAGCATTAAAAACTCACTAATGTTAAGATTTATTTTATTTTGGGTTTTTAATTAAAAAAGTAATATTGCTCTTTTGCAACCAAGTTGAGATATTGCAATGAACTTTGGTTCCATACGTCTACACACCGCTCCTGCATGTACATGCACACACATACACACTACTGTCGCATGTCAGGAGATTAGTTGGGAGTTAGTTTCATAAAAAATGTAGTAACATTTGTAGATGACAAGATGATTTATAGGACAAGTATAGTCTGCACTCATGTTCTCAAGCTCCCGATTCCGCTCTTTACTTTACGAATTGAATGATGAATTAAAGTATCAACAAACCAAGGTAGGCAATGGTAAGAAATGTGTTCACTCTTGAATAAAAGAAAATTTACTTGCAGTAGTAAACAAACTACTCATTTGATTTGGTAGAATTGCTAACAAAATAGAACTCATCCCACCCCGCTTTACTCTTACTACATCAAGGCAAAGGATAGTTGAACAAAACATGCAAATAGTGAAGCAACATTTATGTCCTGACGCAAAACAATGGGGTCTCAGCATTTGCTCAATGGATCAATGGAAACTGGATAAAAAACATGATGAAGGTAGTGTCATTGCCCAAAAGTTGAAGTACAAAAAAGACCTATCTAATGGTCATTACAGAACAATATCTTAATGGCTATACCACTAGGATATTTTAATATTTTGCAAGCTTTAACAAATATTACTCTTTCTAACAAAATGAAGCGAATGATGCCCTTAACTTGAAAACTGAAATGAAAAATTTTGAATTTGTTTTCCATGTAGTACTACATTCCAAAATAATAACAGCAACTAATAATGTTTCAAAATACATTCAAAACCCCGATTTGGAATTGCAAAATGCACAGAATGTACTCAATGCTTGTGCAGAATTTAAGACTATTTGGAATCACGAAGATAAGTTGAAAAACGATACAATAGAATTATCCAAAGTCTGGAAAGTAGATGTGAAATTTAGCTATTAGCGAATGAAGAAAATGAAACTACATTTTGATGAACTTTGTGAGGATCTACGACTCACTAATGGGGAACAAAGATATAAATTTAATGCTTACCATAGATGCCATTTGCCATTCACCAATTGGAGCAATGGCATGTTGGATACAGTAGCAATTTTCACAGAGATTCAGCCATAAGTTTTGGTAGCTATTTCTGACGATTAAATTTATGGAGAAGCACAAAAACTTCAATCAATATGTTCTGCAGATGTTTGGAAAACTTCCCATTTTAGTTATTGTCTTAGTACATTTCAACATTGCTCATTATTAATAAGTTTTTCTGATGTTTGTATAGAATTGTCATTCTTTTGACACTGTGTGTCAGCCCCAAAAGTATGTTTACAAAATTAAAGCTGATATAAAAAATTATTTACAAAGTATGATGGCCCAAGACCATCTGAGTCATTTAATGAATATTATCAATTGAGCACGAGAAAACGATGAGGTTAAAAATGATTATTTCTACTGCCATTGATAAATTTGTAAATGCAAAAAAAAGATTAAAATTAAAATTTGAAATTATGCCAAGAAAGTGCAAGAATTATAATTTATTTTCTGTAATAATTTACTGTAATAAATGTTTTCACTTATAATTTAGTTTATAATCATGAAATTAAAATAATTTATTGTCTAATTTATTAGGGGCCTCCGGTGTTGAAATTGTGCCACTGAGATGTACCATATCCATGTAAAATCGGTCAATATGTCAGTTTTTCACAAGGATTTCTATTCTATTAGGCACTTGTGAAAATAGAATGATCTTAATATAATAATTGAAATGATAATCATCAATATCAATCAGTTGTTCCAGCAATGAATAAGACCAGGAGACATTTTTGCAATTTCTTGAAAAATTTTCCATTACTTGTCCGCTTACTTTCATAACACCTTTGCTGTCTTTACACATTTTCTTAATGGTGTTAACTAATTTAAAATTACATTCTTGTTCTAAAATTTTAAAACGTCTGCTAATGGGAAAACTGTCATGTTTTTTGAAGATCAACAAACAATAAATGAGAATCTCTTCCATAGGCTTTCCTTTTTTCTAAAATTTGTTGGATTAAGAAAATGTAATCTACACATGAACGGTCAGACATAAACCACTTTGTTCTTCCAGATTTTCTATCCTTGACTCTATTCTTCCTTAAATTATTCGCCCCTACACTCTTCTAATTGAACTTGTGACACTAATGCCTCTATAGTTTTCACAAATTTTTTTTATTGCCTTTTTTATAAATTGGTATAATTTCTGCTTTTTTCATTCTTGAGGATTTTTTCTTGATCAATGAGACACTTATTAAATAGGTTTGCAATGATTTATTTCATTTGATCCGGAGAGTGTTTTAACTAGTCAACCAGTATCCCTCCTGGACCTGAGGATCCATTGTTTTTCATTCCCTTCAAAGCGTTATTTAGTTCTTTTAGAGTTATTTTTGGGATACCATCCTGTATTTGTACATTATTTGCACTATAACTGATGTACTTGTATTCTGATCTATCCTCTCTCAGAAGTTCTTGAAAATATCCTTCCCACTGTTTAATAGTGATTGGTGACCTTCTGTATTTACATGACACATCTGTAATTTGTCATTTGTTTTCCATGCCTCTCTAGACCTATTGCTTCCCATTAACTGATTTACTTCAGAGCATTTCGTTTCCCAAGCCTATGCCGCCACTCTTGATATCACTGTGTGTTGTTCTATCTCTGGGGTTTCCTGAGTTTAGCCATTTTTTATATTTCACTTTCTTCTCTTCAATCATTTGCTTCAAATCTTCATTCCATCAGTGTGTTTTTCTTTCCTTTAGTTCGGGCTTCTCGCCTAATGCTTCAAATGCTGCTTCATGAATTACTTTTTTTATTTGTTCATATAGTTCACTTGCTGGCCAATTAACATTTAATTGCAATTTATTTGCCGATCTAAATTTATATAGGAAACTAGTCAAGTCATTTTGTAAGCTATCCAACTGATATATTTTTGGGTTACATGGTGAATGAGTTTCTGCTATTTTGATCTTTTGGAAGTTAGGTTTGTGAAAAAAATAAATAAGATCTCTAAGTAAATAGTGGTCACTACCACATTCTGCTCCTCCTTATACTCTTATGTCTTGGCATTTCAGATGTGCTTTCTGTCTTAATGTCACTTATTCAATTATTGACTTAATATTCCTGGTAGGTTGTGTCCACGTATAATTATGGATATCTTTGTGTCTATAGAACCCATTCATGATTTTAAGATCCATCTGACTACATAAATATTAATCTCTCTCCATTTTTATTACATTATTTTTCTCCATAGTTACCCACTATATTATTATTCTGTTTATCTCCCGTTTAGGCATTTAAGTCCCCCATTATTAGAATTTCCTTACTTGAAGGAATGTCTTCTAATATTGCCATTAATTCATCTTCAAAAGAATCTTTTAAAGAGGTTTTTATAAAGATGCATTGTTCAGTTTCATTGCTTAAGTCTTCAATTTGGTACGTTTAAAGGCTGCTTAGAGTTTTTAACATGTTTCGATTTTTATGGGAATGGGGTGTTGGCCCATAGCCCAACCTCCAGCCTAGCAGGCCAGGATTTGTTTGGGATTTTCTCCTTTAGAAAGGTTGGCTCCACGCCTTTCTGAGTCCTCTCTGCCCATGGTTTTGTTTCAGGGTTTTCCTTCCCTTAGCCTGTGGGGGCTACACACCCTTCTGTAAGGCAGCAGGTTGAAGTCAGAAAAGAAGAAGATACAGAAATAGATAGAGAGGAGGGAGAAAATATAGAATAGAATAAGGACAGAAGAGAGGAGGAAATAATGACTCCCTAGCCCTCGACCACAGAGGTCGAAAAACACAAGAGACCAAGATCGGTCAAATAGGAAAGAATAAAGCAGTATGGCACAAAGGAAGAATAGCCATGCCATACTAGTTCATTCAAAACATGAAATGTAATTTTCTCTGCTGTTTTCTTCTTAAAAAGATGCATATTGCTTCAGAACTAACCAGTAAAGCTCATGGAAAGTAGTAAATTTTCACTTTAATGATATTGCTTTTTCATCTCGTATTTAGTGAGTAGAAAATTGACTGTTGCTTTTAGAAGTTGAGTAGAATTGCATGCTGTAATGTGTATTCTCTTGAGTGGTTTTCTTTTCTAGACTATTCACTTGTTTGTGTTGATTTTTGATCATAACACTGTATTTGGTTATTTTAGTTTAGGTAGTATTTTTGTTGCGGAAATGGGTCCAAAATTAGTCAGTACTGAGATAAGACAGTACATACATAAAACAAAATAATTATGAGTGTAAGATAAGGTTTGTTTTTAATGTGGGTTGTGAGAACTGTTAAACTAGGTGAAGTATTCTAAATACTTGAACAGCATTGCACATGTTTGATTTTACATATATCAATGGTTGAACATTTAAATTTCTTTTAATATGTTAAAACATTCTTTGCTGGGGATCCTTTTTATGTAATGTTATGTGCTTCTCATTCATTGTATGTTCGCTTTTGGTAGAATATAATGATATATAAATGCAATTATTTTTACAGCCTGTTATTTTTACAATTTTGTATACATTATAGTGATTGTGTACATAGATTTTTTGTATAAAGATTGTAAAATTATTATTATTTTCATTGTTACTACTACTATTATTATTATTATTATTATTATTATTATTATTATTATGATTATTATTATTATTGATATTCAATATATTATCATTTGTGTTTACTGTAATTCCTTTGTGACTTCATGAAACTGCAGTGGTGGTTTTAATTTTTTTTTATTGTTCATAGCAATGTAATATTAACCCTGCATGGTCACACTGTGGTGTAACTTACCACATTGAGTTTTTCTAAATCCATAGAATATTTGAGATTTTCAAGAAAAACAATAATTTACTATCATTAAATTCAAATGGTAATGCTATTTTATTGTGCTTTTATTTGCTAGTTTTGCACCCTGATTTTTTTCATGTGTGTTTGAGAATTAAGACTAGAATACGCCACACCCAGTGTGCCTTCTATGGGTGCAATAAAACTTCCAAACTTGGGCAATATTCAGAGATGTTTTATTCAGTGTAGGATACATTAGAAAACATTTTTGCCAAATTGAAATTGTATGCAACCCCCAACCCTGAAATACCTCCAGGAGAAGCCTTAGCCTTGAGCCCTTTGCATTACTAGAAGGAAACTCACGAGTGTTCACTCTTAATTTGAAGATCCTGTTTTGTTGAGAAGGCTTCAATCCAACTTGGTAATTGATACCTAATTCCAAGATGGTTCAATTTCTTTAGTAAGTGTAGGGTACTCTGTCAGAGGCCTTTTCAGAGTCAAAGAAGATAATACAGATTGTTAATCTCTAGATAACCATTGTAGAATCATGACCATTGATGGATAAAAAAATAAAATTGGTTCACAGGATTGATCAATGTGGTTAGAGATACAATTAGTTATGTCAACGTTTCGAAATATTTAATTTCTGCATAGGGGCTTACTAATAAACATACAGGTAACGTCTCGTTTCAAGCCACCACACTCAACTCCACATGGAGTTGCTGGAGTGGGTCCATCGCGTGTCAAGTGTGAATCAGGCCAAGGCCCAAGGGAAAGTCCATTCTGGAAATGACCTGTGCAATAGCTGTATGGCAGCAGGGTGGATACATAACTTTCTCCACATTTTTAAATATAGAAATACAAAAAAATACTTGAACAATACAAACTGAAAATTTCATTGTCTTTATTTGTCTTCAAAGAAATCAATTATTGTCAATTGTTTGCTTCCTACATTTTTCATCAGTAATTTCTCAAGGACTTTCTCCAGAGTTCATGCTCTGTCCATAGTTGATTCTGCCTCATCCACTGTTGGAACATCACCCCACTCTCTGAAGGCCCTTTTACTCGCCTAAGATCATATGAGATCTTTTCAGTAACTGGAGGGCGCAAGCGGCTATTGAAACTGATCGCTTTTCTGCGCAGCACAAGGGGTATAGCAAGGCTGTGAGTCTGTAGCACTTCCTGTCACCTACCTAGAACATGACGCGATGTGTGTGAAATATAACACCAAGTTGGAAATTGAATCAAACATCACCGCCACCAGTTGTGGTCAATGCATATGTTTCATCCAGTGTTGTGACATGGCCTATGTTTCCGCAGTGATACTGGGTGGCTTTAAAGTCATCAATAAGGTCCCCATTCCAGGTACACTGCCTTCATTGCAAGGGAGACTTCTTCGATTATGACTTTTGGCCAAAGCTGTTTTTTCCAAGCTACCTTCTGTTGGAATTTGTGGCTCTAAGGCTATATATTTTTTTCCAGGAGGGAATTAATTTCCAGGACGTATTTCTTGCATTTACTATAGCCATGGTTCAGGTTCACTATAATCGTATTTTCGTATTCTTATTTGTAATGTAAGGGAAACACCACCAGTGACTTGAATTCACTACATCCAAGTTCACTATAACCAGAGTCAACTGTATTTGTAAAAGATTTTGGGGTTCTCCACACCACTTTTTCTTCATATTGTTGACAAGCGCTCTGCTTTTTTTGATTGAATTTCGTTTCTGAGTGTATTGTAGTAGGTCTTGTATTCACTATTCCCTATTTTAGTGTATCTTTTCTATATCTAATTCCTGTTTTCAGTAAGCTTGAATATATGTGGAGTGGAGCCATCATAATTTAAAATATTGTCTGTTTGCTTTTATTAAAATAATATTTGCTTCAGATAATTGAATCTCAATTTTAAGAGTTTTTCAAAGTTAATTGGTATCATCAGATCTTGATGTTGGTTCACTGAGACTTCTCAAAGGCATTAGTTGATTGCCTAATAGTTGACATTGCAATAGCGTCAACGGATTAGTTCACATCAAGTACTTGTGATTTTGGTTAAATAGTGTATTGTTATTAAAGGTGGTGTGACTCTTAGCAATAGGAGCCAAATATTCTACATGGGTAAATTAGTTGTGGGATTTAGTCAAAATCAAATTTCAAAGGAATTCCATCAGGATGTTCCTTTATTGTGCTGTCTTTGTTACTAGTTGTGTCAAATTACTGTAGACACAGCTGTAGGAATTCGTATTCATGGTGACTGTAGGTTCAGTGTTCAGAAAAGTCTAATTGATGTTGTTAAATCTCCTGTGATAATGGTGTACTGAACAAATTTTTCTCCTAGTATGGTAAGTGAGTATTTCTAAGTGTAGTTGTTAATATTTAATAAGTACATAAAATGTTTTGCCAATGTTTTTGATTCTTACAAAGCAGAGCTTCTTGAGGCTGAGAGAACACCTTTCTGTACACCTTTACCCTACTCCTACCCTCTGTGTTATTTCGCTGCTACGGAAATGTTACTTGGTCCTCCGCAATTGGAGTATCTATAAAAGGGCTTTTAATCACTGTCACTCACTCTCAGTAGCATGTCTTCTTAGCTACTGTACTGAACTGTTGCCCATGATGGATCTAGGATTGCCCCTTAAACTGCTGGTACTTGCTCAGTGAAAGGGTTTTCTTCTTGAATGGTACATCTACAACAACTAAGAACCTTTTAGTTATATGAAATCCAACCTCTTATTTTATGTTGTGTAACACTCTGATACTCTTTTCAAGTTGTTTCTAAATTCTAATTGTTAAAAAATTAGTTTTAAATAATTTAGAAAATGTACATTCATAATAAATGTCTTTGGAAATTTTATTTTTAGAAATATTTTTATTTTCCCCTGGGTGGGTGGGGTGTGCATGTGTGTGTATACATATAACAATTGTTTTGTTTCTCATTTAGGTTCTTCATGGTGATGTAGAGGAAGCAATTTGTGTTCATGCATTGTATTATGCTTTATGGAAAGTTTATGGTGTGTTACCTGAACGGTGGGACTGGCAAAGACTTTCTGCAGATGTTGCTTTTTATCCACTTCGTCCTGAATTAGTAGAATCTACTTATTTATTGTATCAGGTATGTATATTTTCCAATGTGCTTCCATGTCGATAAGTAATGATCTATCAGTTTCATCTGAATATATTTCACTCACACATAATGCATAAATATTATAACTTAATTTTAAATATTGGTTAACATGAATGTACAATTGAAATTTGTTTGTAAAATAGGCAAATATCTCTCTTTTTGGTAGATTATATGCAATTTGTCTTGCTGAATCAAAATATTGTAACAAATCTCTCTTGCGTTCATTTTACAAAAGAGGAAGATTATTTGAAATATTGAAAAATAAATATTATTTTGTTAAAAATTAATAACAATATTAATTCATAATTATGCTGGTTTAAATTATTAATGAAGGTAATCATGCTCAGTCATATTGCATTAAAGTAAAGTATGATAACAATGAAAGAACATTATTATGAAAAATGTTTTGAACAATCTAATCTGATTATATTATATTTGATTTTCAGGCTACAAAGAGCCCATTTTATCTCCACGTTGGCCGAGAAATTTTGGAAAGTCTGAATAATTATACAAGAACAAAATGTGGTTATGCAACCGTACACAGTGTCGTTGATAAAAGTCTGGAAGATAGAATGGAGAGCTTCTTCTTGAGTGAAACGTGCAAGTACTTGTACCTGGTAAATACACGTAACATACTAACTTTCATTTGCACACGTCTGTGGTTTTGTGAATGAAATTTGATGTCATAATTGAAAGTAAAAGCTTGTTGATTGTTACATACACAATCATATGAAATCAGAATAAAAGCTATTTTAAAATCTGGAAAGCCTGAAAATGTGTTGGAAAGTGAGAGTACTGGCCACGTAATATAGCCAGTTGACTTAAAGGCTTTTTGCAGTTGTACTGTTGAAACCGTCAGTCATACAGTTCAATGAAAATGAGACTATTTTAATAGTGCTCTATGCTATCCTATGACAAAGTTTGATAAAAAAAATTTGGAGCTAATTTTTAGAAAAGATTAAGATTTTTGTTTGGATTGAATATTTGCAAAAATGCTTTTCCATGTTGTGGAAAGATTCTGTAACATTTTTAAGTAATAAGCAAAAGGGTCTTGACAACCATGAATCACACAACAGAATACAGATGTTGATCAATGGCTGAGCAGTGTCTTACAAAATGTGGTTCAAATATATGGCGTGTGGTTAATCAGTAATTGAACTCTACTCAAAATTTCTGATGGTTTAGCAATTTTCAAGAAGTAACGAGCATGTGCCAAATAAAAGAATGATTGCAACTATGGGGGAGCACCATCCCATGGTATGAATTGTGCATGTTCACAGTCTTATTGTTTCACTCCCGATATGCGAGTTTTACATGGTTACACTTATCATGGGGGAAAGAGATGGTCGGGCTTTTTTGGTGCATCGATTTTTTCATCATTCTGTCCAGCACCAGTTTACGTCAAGAACCACATGACCACAGCACAGCCACTTTTTGAAATGCCATACTAGACGTTGCCTGCTATGTTGCATGGAGATTGAGAAGTGTTGAGAAACCTTTTGAAAGTGGCATAAAGTTATTAGTTAATTAGTTTTTAAATTATCCATAGTGACCAACCAAAATAACACAAAGGTGTAATTGAAATAAAAGATACAATATTTTAAAAAATTATTTTTTTGTGTTTCTATTTCAATGACTTGTAACTGGTAATTTTGGCATTTAAAATTAATATTCTGTTCCAAACTGATACCTGAAGTTCAATGGCTGAAATCGGATACGATGTGCAAGCCCATCTCTTTCCATCATGGATATTCTGATTGAGTTTGGTATATAACCTATAAGATTTCGAGTTCATATGTCATGATTGAACCTGTGTTTAAATACTGGTATTAAAAAAATCCAATCATGTTTTGGCACTAATTTCAAATTTTTTGTACTAAAAAATGGTTTTAATTATATTTTACTGTCGCTCACATTGTTTTAAAATCTGAAGAAGAAAAATGTTATAGAACATTATGAGATATATTCTACGTGGAAAATGAGACAATACTCCAAAGTTATGACATCAAAAATCAATTTCAAAAAATTATTTATTTTGTTTCTGTTCAAATTTGGCATCAAAATTGGTTGACAAAAATACCATCAAATTCAACTATTTTGCCCTGCCTCTCCAATTTTTTTTTTCTTTTTTTTTTTTTTTTTTTTTTTTAGCCTGATATATGCAATAGAAGTTGAGAAAAAAATAAATATGAAAAGCATTTTTTTCATTGTATCTAAATAACAGATTGCCCTAAGAAGCTGTTGTTGTTGTTTTTTATTTTAATCTATGACACTTTTTATTCTCTTTTGTATGAATATCACAATTATCCGTTTGGTTTGATGGCACTTTTCACCACCTTATTCGACTATACCCTTTCATTTTTAGTATGAATTTTCAAAGAAACTAAAAGCCTTTATTGTTTTGGTTATCATCCAAACTGTGCTGGTTATCATCAAATTTATTCTTATTTTTCCTATTTTTCAGCTTTTCGATAAAGACAATTATGTCAATAAACACTTTGGCCGCTTTGTGTTCAGTACAGAGGGGCATTTATTTCCTATTGATGCCGTCTTCCGTAATAAAATTTGGCAGAATGGAGGTGGTCCCAATGTTGATTATGTAACAAATGCTACTGTAAGTTTATTATCAAATGAATTGCCTTGTGAATCAAAGGCAAATTCTGTGTTTTAATGTATATGACATGTTTTACATCAACAACTATTTTTCTAGTGTGAAGCTGTGGATGCAGAAAGGACATATTTTCTTCCAATTAAGAGCAGATATCTGGTGCAAATCAGTAAAACTCTTGGTCTCCAGGAATACTAGTTATAAAGTTTATAATACCTCTTTGGATTTTAATATTAGGAGTGAATCATTTCACTTTTGTAATAGAATAAATAAGCAATATTTTGTCTCTCAGATGTTGTTATTGAAGCATTTATAAATGTACAAACCAAATAAAATGTAAAGTGTTAGGAAATTATTTTTCTATTTCATATGTTATTAAGAAAGAGTTTGGTATTATATTTATGATTAGAAAATACTATTACTGCAATATTACACTTGGTTGCAGGGACAGAGTTCTTAGGAAATAATGCACATCACTCTCGATTAAATTTGGAGTAGAGAATATGTGATTTAGCACCATTGTAACAATGAAATTTTTTAGAGATGTGCTTTTCCAATTGTTCAAAACAAACAAGTGAAATCTTCCAGGACGAAATTAGACAATTTTCAAGTGCCTTTTGTATCGGAAATGGAAAAGTGAATAATATTTTGTAAAATAAAAAATCAAAAAATGAGTATTTTTATGAAAAATTCAGCATGTTTTTGATATTTATTACATCCAATCAAAGATTATTGAGAATCATGTAAGTATATTGTAATCTTTAAAGAGAACTGAAAATATTTCTAAAAATTTTGGAGATTGAATTTTGTGCATGTGTGTGAATATTGTTCAGTTTGCATGCATTTGTAGATACTCTAGCAGCAAATTGGAAGATGGCTTGACACTAGTAATGCAACATTGACAAGAAACAATCGATGTTCAAAATCAAAACATTAATGTTAATACATCGGTCAAAACCCAACGATGTTTTTAAACATCCGTTTTAAAGTTGGTTTAGTAACCTCTAACTTTCTCGTACTTTAAATTTGTGCGCAAGAAAATTTAATTGAAAACGGCCATGCTTACTCATTTATAATTAAAATTTAACTGAAAACAAAGTTACACATCATCTCACCATGTGCAAAATACAGGAAAGACGAGGCCATCAGAGTCTTCTCGAGTAAGGGATGGTGGTCTGTTAGATGAAGATAGAACAAACCGATTTTGTTTCGATCAAATACAAACAGATATTTTTACTATCAGTTATGATTTATTGTTTTAACTTTTACAAAATTGTGATTATGGACATCTTTCATCCATGAATACACATCGATGTTTTGAAAACATTAACAGTGATGTCACATCCCTGCTTGACACATTCTGAAAATAAGATGTTTATTCTTTGACTTTCTTTCCTCTATAGTATCCTTAGAAATTTTTGCCGTGAATACTGGGTAACTGCAAATGTCTGTGCACCAAAAGACATCATCATATGCACCCTGAACAAGAATATAAAAATGTTTGTGCAATAAATTAATCAGAATGCAGAAAATACAATTTTTTTCCAAGAAACCATGCTTAGGTGGAATGAGGATCTGTTGTATTTGGTGGTGAACTACCCATTAAATCCTGATCCTGAGTCTCTGCGGCATGCTCTTTACGATGAAGTCACTGGGCGTTGGTTTTTGCAAAGCATTGAACATTCGTTGAGTAGTTGAGGTAAGTCATGGCACAGTGTTAGCCCGGCAGAAATGGAAATGCATGCTGTGTCCGAATATTGTGACATGTTCAGGGAATATGTGGCACCACATATTCAGAGAATGCTGGAGCAACACATGTTGTGTAATGGGCAGCATATGTCTGCCTCTTACGAATTGTATGCACATTTCTGAGGAAGCTTTATAAGCAATGCAAAAATTGTGCAACTTCTTGTCAGTGTTTATTGCCTGTTGAATTTTAAAATATTGGTAACAACATTGCACTCATCACATTCCAAGGTGTGTAATTTGGTGTGGTTAATTCTTGGTATTCTGTATTGTGATGCAGTGTGTCTACCACTGGCTGCAAAACATTCTTGATTCCATCCTTTCAGCCCATGGCAAGCCCTAGGGAGGGTTGGAATTACACTTACCCCACACTATTTGGAAAACAAATGAGCAGGAACATTCATTGATATTTGCAACTTTAGATTTTACAAATACTATGTTTATATAATACTAAATATGAATTTTGATTCGAAAGTGATGTAGGCCGCAACATTGCTTAGTTTAAAATACGTTAAACTATATTTTCTAATTGAAACGGTGTATCAAAGATAGTTATAAGCGACAAAATGGTAATTTTACAGGAGAGGAGTTCCTAACTTAAGCTAATTTCTAAAACCAGAGCTTTCAAAAGAATGCTGTAAATTTTGTCTAGAATTATCAGGGTCATTTCCTAAACATTTGAGGCAAGTTGAATTAAACATGTTAAATTAATTTCCAAGTTTTGCCAAAGATCATGTTAATAAGTGTCAAAGATCTAGGAGAGTGCTTGTGACTTTCTTTTCAGAAAAATAAAATTATGCTCAAGTTATAAAATGTTGAAATTAGTATGTAAAGTCTCACATCAATTGTAAAGTAAACACCATAATGGGGGGGGGAATAATGTCATAACACTACTGGGAAATGAATGATTGTAGACAATTGTTACTTTTCTTCATGCATCTTCAAACAGCAATGCAACTAATCATCACTTTGTAGTGTTCGGAAGAAACTCTGATAAGCTTCAGAGATGTAATTCAAGAGGCAGTATTTGTATATCATTCTGTTTTTTCTTGTTTATTTTCAATGTTTCTGCATTATGTCAGGTACGATGAATGAAATATCAGCTTGTGAATATTAACTTCTGTAAAACTAATTTCTTCATTGTAGATTTCAGTAAGTTAGAAAATATCAGAATTACCCTTCTCTGATGTAAAAGTCATTGCATCACAAATTGTAGTCATGTTATTACATATTATCTTTTTATAATTCTAGCATGTAAGCATTAGGCGTCCTAAAAATAATTTTAAAATGTATTTATAAAATTGCTCTCTATTGATAGCATGGCCAATGCAGACAATTGTGACAAGTTATTCCTTAGAAACAGCTTCATACATTTGTGGATTGATAAAAAACTGTTAGCTTCAGAAGTGGTTGTTGGAATTGTAATTAGGATTTCTAATAGTGTGATGACTTCACTGAATGTGTGTTCTAACTTGCACTCTATGAAACTGATACAAACCATAAGTGCCTGGTTATCTTCTGAAATTCATCTGCACTGTAAATTGCGTCAAGCTCCATGCCCATTTTTAATGTGTCTTCTGGAAATTTATAATCGTAAACTGGAAATTTTCCAATATGAACAAAGAAGCAGCAGACAAATGACCAGGAAACTAAATCTTTCTTTCATGTGAAAAATAATTACATCACATAGTACTTCCTTTGCTTCTCTCACCCACTCATTATGTTGTCTTCCTTTTCTTTGCAGATGAAGATTGCGAGACAAATGTTGGTGTTTAAAGATTGTTTCATTGCCATTTCTAAGTTTTGTCATGTCTTGTTCAAAGCTCTTTGTGCTTTGTGCAACAACAGTGGGATCAAGTTCTACTCTGAAGTTGCTCATACAATACAAATAATATATCAATAAGGGACATAACATTCCGAAGAAATATTAATAAAAAAATGAATGTTTCCCTTGTCAACGTTCTTGAACGACCGGCAGCTTGGGAGAGAGTACTGTATTTTTTGTCATCGAACTGTAAACTTGTTTTCGTTCGTTGTACAAAAGCGCCATCATACGTCTGAGCTAGAAGCTTTTTTTTTGGGGGGGGGGTCATTTATTTTGTGCCGAATTAAACTCTTGAAGAATGCACAACGCCAATGTTTCTGCGCCATGACGCAGAGGGTTAAGAAAAGCCCAAAATCTTCCAACTTGTTTATGCATAATGATGTATCTGAAAATAATTGCCGTTGGAAACGTACTCGACATCGCTGGTTTAGTCGACATAACAGCTAAAACGTTTTTCTTCCTTGATTTTCTCTGCATTTTTTTCTTTGCAGACTTCTAACATGATTTGTAGCAACTTGTTCTGAATCATTTTAGATGTCTCGAGAAATGCTGCCGCACTTTACAGATTTTTGTAAAGCAACTTCTAGTTCTGCTCTAAAATCAATTAATCTTCTAAAAATTCCTGGATTTGTGGAGTCTTCAGTTTCATCCTGGCCTCCTAAAGCTAATTTAACTAATTAATTTAAACTAATAAGCACCACGGAAACGAATACAATTAACTCGTTACATATCTTTTTTCCACTTCACTGTGAATAGCGATATTCCTCCAATATGCATTATCTAATTGTTCTGCTATATTGATAGTTCCTAATAATACTAAACGTATTTTTTTTTACAAGTGAGCTTCATGTTTTTTCAATCGTTTTACTATGGAGCTTAATCCTTTAATCCCGATATTTTTTTCATGTATCTTCACCTACAAACAATATACAAGAAAGCAAAACTGAGCTATCTTTGAATCACACCCACATAACCACTTGTATTTATTATAAAAAATATTTTTCAACTCAATTCTCTTTGAACTGTTTTTAACTTTGTACAAAGTTTTGAAAACATTGAGCAGACGTTTCGAGTCTTCATTTCTGTTTTTTCTTCAATAGGGCGTGAATCAAAGGGAGTTTTTTCTTAAATTTTCCAGTGTCTTCCTTGTCTAATGTCAGGAAAATAAATATTAAACGTTCATCCTGAAATTTGTTAGTTTCTCACTTCCTTTACAGACAGCAACAACAAACTTTATAAGATATCTACCACACCCTTGTATTTACATCGTAGCTCCCGAACTGACTGTCGGGAGGAAGAGAATTGCAAACACGATGCAAAAGAAAGGGAGAGAAATGGGATTTCTTCCAGAACGTCCAACTTCACAAAACAAACTGCTCTCTTCAAATACACATTTTCAAACAAAAATTGAATGTGGTCAGCGCAGTGGACCGTGGACAGTGAGTGCATCGGACTGTGCGATAGTGTAGAAGTGAATAGTGTAAATAAATAAGCAGTAGAAGTGAACAGTGTAAATAAATAATCAGTGTTAGTGTAAAAAGATAATGTAAATTAATATGCAAATGTATATACGTTTATAGCGCCTGAAGGTGGAGAAAAACACAATTCCGAAACGTCAGTGAGTACAAACTGTGTAAATACAATAAAACAAGGTTTTGATATATCTGTTTATTGTTTTATTTGATCAAAAAAGTTGATTGTTTAACAAATATGGACCTATAACTTATAGTCCAAGTAATCAAAAGAAATCTATACCACTGTAGAACAAATGTTAAAATCAAACTTTAAATTTTTCATAAAAACTACAGGAATTGTCGAAAGATATAATATGCATGGGTTCAAGTCACCAACAACGCGACAAACTTCTCTCATGTTTGGGATAGATGACATATTTCAACTTCAGTTGCTCATTACAATAAATATTTTTAATATTATTACTAAATGGCTGAGTGACAAATAAATGGAATTCCGCTTCTCAATTCTTGAGAAATGTCCAAAATAATTTAACTCTATACGGTCTATTCATCAATTCACGCAATAAACGTATTGGAAGCAGTCAGGCAAAATAATCACTGAATATTCTTACAGAGATTGAGATAGCAATTTACGTTATTAAAAACTAGAATGGAATTTAATTACCGCTGATCCCTGAATGTAATTACAAACATTGGAAATATAAGTCAACGGATATAATAGCGGAAGAATTTAGTAACGTTCCCTAAGTATTAGCACGATTACGAAAATATATGAAATTATACAGGATGGTTAAAAAGAAGGGGGCATAATTTCAGGTATGCATTCCCCACATGTACACAATCAAAATAGTCCAGTACAATATGTGTGCGGAAATGCTTCATTTTCGAGTTATGACCTTCACAACAAAGAAATTCTATCAAATGGTTGTCCCTCACACTATCTGGAGACTGTTTCAAGAGTATCAGCTGTATCCTTATCATTTGCAACGTGTTCAGGCCCTATCACCAGCAGATTACCATGCAAGAGTTAGGTTCGGTCAGTGGTTCTTGCAGCAATATGGTGCAAATCCGAACCTTCTTGCCTTAGTATTATTTACAGATGACGCACAGTTCACATTAGATGGCATTACGAATTTACACAATCGGTGTGTATGGGCATATGAAAACCCAGGTGCAATTTTCCATCTGATCACCAGGTGCGGTTCTCATTCAACATGTGGACCGGTATCCCTGATGATCGATTAGTGGGACCACTTGTACTTGTAAACAGACTTAGGGGCAGGCGTACACAAACTTACTGGAAAAACACACCATGTTTATGAAGACACTCCACTGATCGGTAAACACGCTCACTTCTTGCATGATGGCGCACCTCAGTTGTTCGGCTTGACAGTACTTAGATCAAATGTTATCTGATCGATGGATAGGTAGAGGTGGCCCAATTGCTTGGTCTCCACGCTCACATGATCTGAACCCTTTTGA